AAGTTTGGTCCTTTTACAGCATCCTGCCATGCGATTACATTTGTTCCTGACCACCGAGAACACTCACGTTAACTTTTATCGAGTGGGAAAAAAAGTTAGCTTGTTTATATTATGCTAACATAGCTGTGTCGCTAGCGGTCACGTAGCACATCATTATATACCAGCTAGCCCAACTTCAGTAACCCTACAAACGTCACTGCTGTTTAGTTTTCTGTCTTCATTTATGTTGGAAGTGATAACAGAGCTGTACGTTTTAATTTGTTTCCAAAACCCCGCAGTCAGGACATGCTATATTGTATTTATTTTTATTTATTTTTTTTTTGTGTCCCGTTTGGATCTTTAGCCATCAGAATGTTGTCTTAGATGCCAAGAAAGATGCCAAGCGGATTTATTTTACCAATATTTGGTCCATTTGATTGACCTTTATTATAATTATGAATTTATTTTATTTTCAGTTGCTACAAACGGGACAGACATGACTGGGGGATAGGACAGGGAGAAAGAATGAAAGAAAGAGAGGGAGAGAAAGAAAACCAAAGGGGAGAAGAGACGGTGAGAAGGGGGGGAAGAAAGAAAAAACAAACAAAAACAAAACACCTGGGTCACCTGTATGGAGAAAAAAAACAGAAGAGAAAGCAAACAACAAAGAGCAACATAATAAAAAAAAACAGCACCATCACAATAAACTAGCTAGCAGTAGATATCAGTAGATACTAAATAATAAACGATATTGTGCAGCACGCAAGATAGACAGCGCACAATGTGCTTTGAGGCAGCAGCCAAGAAAGCTGTAGTCCGCGTCTGTGAATACCCGTGTGTACACCTGTGTGCATACCTGTGTGGATCAGCATGCTTGTATTCCAAAGGTTTCTCCATGTAACGATCTGCTAGGGAGTGTGGGGAGCCACAGCCCCGTCCACCAGGGTATGAAGCAGGTATGGAGGAGATCCAGGCCCCAGATATCCAGAGGCCCCAGAGTACAAGGACCCGAGGAGGACCACCAAAGGGGGGGAACCGTGCCACCCTCCTGGGAAGAGCTGAGTAGAGCCCCAAATACACCGACCACGGAGCAGATGGCCAAAGAGCTTTTAGATGAACATTTGGCACCAAATCTCACCACAGCAGGCAGCATATGTGCAGTGTGCCATTAAAAATTTTGAGGAAACCAGATAAGTGGAGGACAAAAAAACTACAGCAGATGAATAACATCAGAAAGTCTTGTCCTTAAGAAATTGGAAAACAAATCCAGCAAAGATGTGACACAGGGCCTGAGCGATGCACCTGGCCCTTGGCACCTGGTTGATCCATCTACTGTTTGCCAAAATCTCAGTGGAAGCGTGGCTGTCAAGAAGTTCATAAGGAAGAGAAATGGAGAGGAAAAAGTGGGGTATGGCAAACTACACAAGACCTGGAATGAAGATCAGTGGCAACAGATCTGATGGAGTGATTAATCCAAATCAGAAAATTTTGGTTCCTGGAGTAGGTCAGGAGAGAGGTACAGCACTGATTATGACAGCCATTTGTAAAGCATGTAGAGGAGGCTCTGTCATGGTTTGGGGTTGCCCAACACTACTGCAGGCAGTAGTGTTGGGGATCTTGTCAGAATTAATGGAATTATGAAAATTTGCCAAAAAGATTTCAGGCTATGTTGAAAAATAAAGGTGATCAAATCAAATATTGATTCCCAAACTCATTAGAATTATATAAATTCTGTTTATTTCTCATAATAATAATAATAATAATAATAATAATAATAATAATAATAATGGATTGATTTATATAGCGCTTTTCGGGACCCCTCAAAGCGCTTTACAATACCACTCTCACATTCATACACTGGTGGAGGCAGCTACAGAATGTAACCCAATGTAACCCAATAAGAAGTTTGTGTTTCTGCACTGATATCTTATTAAAGCATACTGATCTTACCCTTATTCATCAACTATATGTGTGTATGTTTTATTTGGAGATAGAGATAGTAATATACAGGGAGTGCAGAATTATTAGGCAAATGAGTATTTTGTCCACATCATCCTCTTCATGCATGTTGTCTTACTCCAAGCTGTATAGGCTCGAAAGCCTACTACCAATTAAGCATATTAGGTGATGTGCATCTCTGTAATGAGAAGGGGTGTGGTCTAATGACATCAACACCCTATATCAGGTGTGCATAATTATTAGGCAACGTCCTTTCCTTTGGCAAAATGGGTCAAAAGAAGGACTTGACAGGCTCAGAAAAGTCAAAAATAGTGAGATATCTTGCAGAGGGATGCAGCAGTCTCAAAATTGCAAAGCTTCTGAAGCGTGATCATCGAACAATCAAGCGTTTCATTCAAAATAGTCAACAGGGTCGCAAGAAGCGTGTGGAAAAACCAAGGCGCAAAATAACTGCCCATGAACTGAGAAAAGTCAAGCGTGCAGCTGCCAAGATGCCACTTGCCACCAGTTTGGCCATATTTCAGAGCTGCAACATCACTGGAGTGCCCAAAAGCACAAGGTGTGCAATACTCAGAGACATGGCCAAGGTAAGAAAGGCTGAAAGACGACCACCACTGAACAAGACACACAAGCTGAAACGTCAAGACTGGGCCAAGAAATATCTCAAGACTGGTTTTTCTAAGGTTTTATGGACTGATGAAATGAGAGTGAGTCTTGATGGGCCAGATGGATGGGCCCGTGGCTGGATTGGTAAAGGGCAGAGAGCTCCAGTCCGACTCAGACGCCAGCAAGGTGGAGGTGGAGTACTGGTTTGGGCTGGTATCATCAAAGATGAGCTTGTGGGGCCTTTTCGGGTTGAGGATGGAGTCAAGCTCAACTCCCAGTCCTACTGCCAGTTTCTGGAAGACACCTTCTTCAAGCAGTGGTACAGGAAGAAGTCTGCATCCTTCAAGAAAAACATGATTTTCATGCAGGACAATGCTCCATCACACGCGTCCAAGTACTCCACAGCGTGGCTGGCAAGAAAGGGTATAAAAGAAGAAAAACTAATGACATGGCCTCCTTGTTCACCTGATCTGAACCCCATTGAGAACCTGTGGTCCATCATCAAATGTGAGATTTACAAGGAGGGAAAACAGTACACCTCTCTGAACAGTGTCTGGGAGGCTGTGGTTGCTGCTGCACGCAATGTTGATGGTGAACAGATCAAAACACTGACAGAATCCATGGATGGCAGGCTTTTGAGTGTCCTTGCAAAGAAAGGTGGCTATATTGGTCGCTGATTTGTTTTTGTTTTGTTTTTGAATGTCAGAAATGTATATTTGTGAATGTGGAGATGTTATATTGGTTTCACTGGTAAAAATAAATAATTGAAATGGGTATATATTTGTTTTTTGTTAAGTTGCCTAATAATTATGCACAGTAATAGTCACCTGCACACACAGATATCCCCCTAAAATAGCTAAAACTAAAAACAAACTAAAAACTACTTCCAAGAACATTCAGCTTTGATATTAATGAGGTTTTTAGGTTCATTGAGAACATGGTTGTTGTTCAATAATAAAATTATTCCTCAAAAATACAACTTGCCTAATAATTCTGCACTTCCTGTAGTTAAACATGGTAAAACCTCATCTGTGCATTAAGTGGCATTCTGAGAGGCGAACATATTTTTGCTGCTTCTGGGGAGTAAATTGATTTCCAGGTTCTTAGGATTTCCTGGAACTTAGTGGAAAATAAAAAATAAATTAAGCAATACAAAAAATGATTCCTCTTAGGCCTACCCTCTAAAGATTTGCCAGAAAGTGTATTTTACACAGTTGGATCAAAGCTTGTCATCCAAGTACTGGTAATTTGGTAGTGGGAAATCTTTAATACTCTCCCACATGAAAGACTATAATGCAACTAGAAAAGGAAATGACGAGTTATTTCTGTGGCTCTGGTCACTCTTTTTACACTCAGCCTTGAAAAACTTAATTTTAGAAGGAAAGAATTGCACTGAATGGAAGTGCTCGGTAATATCCCAGAAGCTGTGATTCTCAACTTGATGGCTGTTGATGACCGGTTACTTTAAAAAGACATGCATGTGCACTAGTGAACTACAAGGTACGTGAGCTGTTAACAAACCTACATTCATTTCTTCATGTTTTATTTAGCTGTTTATCGTCATTGTTATAACCACTATTATTGTATTTATAATGTGTTTTTTAACAACCCAGAGATGATGAAAGACTATGAAGAATCAACCATCTGGACACAAATAGTGTACACTTATAGTCTTTTTACACTTATGCAATAAAAAGTATACCAAGGGCAAGTATGTCATAAATATTACTATATAAATTAATCTTTTAGTGAAAGTTTCCTCACTTGCTATGATGGCTTTATTATAATAAGAGAAAAATAACAAATATAGTAAGGAAAAACTCATAGTTAATTTCACTGGATTCTTAGGTTTCAGCATTTTGAGTTTAGATATGAAATTCATATATTTTCTTCAATTCAAGTGAGTGAGAAGGTATGAAAAACAACTATAAAATTCTTATGAGCTTATTAATAATGCACTGGTTTTTCAAAGATTGGGAGCCCACTAATTAGCTGATTTGCAGGTCAAAGCAACTCATTTGGATACTTTTTAAAGTTTTTTGTTTTATGAAACCTAAATTTTTTAAGTATTAAGATTTCAAAATGATTCTTTTAAGAGCAAGCACAGCAACTTTATACATTATACAAATAAAACCCTTCATCTTATTAATCCTGCAGGTTTTCTTCAAGATAAAATTATGTTTCAATCAATTGTGCATCCATGCTCTTTCTTAGCAACCCACACTTCTCCTGCAGAAGGTAACACAGCTGCTGAGGGTGAAGTGTCTTTCCTGAGGCTGCTGCCTCCTACTGTAACTTTGTGACTTCAGGTTAGAGCTCAGTTGAGCAAAGATCTTCTGGGAGCTGAACCACTGAGCAGCAAAAGCCCTACAAGGTGCTGTAGGAGCTGGCGGATGCTCGACATGAAAGATGCAGTAAATAAGTAAATATAACAATCAAAAAAAACAAAAGCTTACCTGAAGAAGGTAACGAAGAACTGCACCAGGTCCATGATGCTGTTGTGCTGAGAGAAAGCAATCTGAGACAAGACAAGAAAGGGAAAGAGAGTGCAAGAGGTTAGTGCAAAATGTACAAGTTTGACTTTTTGCCTCTATATGACCTTTGAACAGCAGTTAAAATGCTGATTTTCTTCTCCTCCCATTTGTGATTGGAACTTTTTCCAACAAAACTTCTTCCTGCAAATGTAAGAACAACACAGACTAAAATCGACACAAGTCACTGCACTGCTTTTTTATTGCTCCTTTTACAGAGCAAAGGAAACTAAAACAGTATCTGTTAAACATCTTTCTTTATCCAAGGCCAGCATTCAGACCTCTTACAAAAAACCATTGGTTTTATTCCTGCCTTTTACATTCAAACATGACACAACCACAAAGAATACAATGTGATGCACCACCGTATGGGTTGCAGGTTATTATAAGATTAGCCTGTGACTAAAAGCTTCTGGCCTTTTGTGTTCTTCGGTATTCTGCAGCACTTTGTTCAACAATTGAAATTTGACAAACCTACTGCATGCTATAGCTCCACTAAACCAACTGGCTGCATCATCCATCATGTTCTCTGTTCTGGGATGCTGGTGCAGTGTGTGACACTCTGGTGTTCAAAGCCACAGATACAAAACATGTCGACTCAGTCAATGCACACTGTGTATTTATTGTAATTATTGTTAATTGATTTTTCCGCTTGTCTTCAACCATGCAGATATTAACTGGTTTAACTTTAACAGATTATTCTATATTTCAGTAAAGAAAAGCACAATTCCATATTAGTGAATACAACATCCTGGCTGATTATCAAACAATGTTTCTTTATTGCTTGTGGAAACCCAAGCTTCCAATTTACTATGTTTCCAATGTCTGCTATACTAATTAAGGCTCATAAAGTTAAAAAAAATATGATATGCCCTTTTTAAAGTGGCCAAAAACTTCATCTAGTTTGTGCATGTTTAAGTGAGCCACATTTTTGTACTGTTTTTGCAATATTAAAAGATGTATTATCTATATTTCCACTCGTTTCATCAGCATACACACCCACACATATTCCTAACAGCATGAAAGCCATCCTCACCTCTCACCTCATCTCATCCCTCACTCTGTAACTCAATACAATCCGTGTTTATGAACAGTTGTGTGAGTTTACTGTGTGTTTTTCTGTGTCTATGTAAGATGTGCCTTCTGGCTTCAGAGTACAGTTTTGGCTCTCAGATATGAAAACTCTTGAAAAGCCACTGCAGTCTATGTCTCAAATCCATCATGTTAAGAGGATTATTTATTACAAAAATAATTGATTTTCCATTCACTTTCCTGTCCTGCAGGGACAACAAAAAGCTGATATTTCAGTTACAGTTAGAAGGCACAAAGACTCCTCATATGGATCAATGCTCTAAGATAAATGACCAAATGACCAAGTCAACCAAAGATGAGCCGTTAATGAGGATAATTTAAAAAACAAAAAAAAACAAAAGGAATATTGGTGTACAAAAGTAAAACTCTCAACAGCACAAATTTACTGACGGCTACTGGTTGGTGGTTTGTTTGTTTTCACTTATGATTTCATGCCAGCAGCACAACCAGTACAGAAGTACAGGGGAAAAGTAGTAGTCATCATCTTAGAGCAAGTATTGGTGTGCCAGTGCACTGAGCAAAATCACTGCTATTGTTTCGTAGAAAACTAAGAGTAAAGTCTAAGAATTGTAATGACCATCTTAGAGCTTTGATCCATTTAGTAATTAAATGGAGTAATTCAATTAGGATGTCTGCTTCACAGGAAAACTGATTACCTGTCAGTTTCTTCCAAGCTCAACCAGTATGACTGTTATTAATGGTGTTTCCCAATGTCTTATCCACTCATTTAAAATATGGTTACATTAAAGAAAGTGAGCATTCTTGGTTAAGAAAATACAAGAATGGAGAACTGAAAAGTTGCACAGCAGCAGACCAAACAACAATTGATTTGTCAAAGTCCCACTAAGATGACTGCCAATTAAAAACCTTTTCACAAAGGAGTTTTTTTTCAACACCTCAACACGTAATGTGTTTGTATTTGCTGCTATTTTGATATTAACATAAATAAAAAGCTTTTTTTAATGGCTTAACTGAACAAATGCAAAGTGTAGCCTTGAAACCTTTAGGTCTTCTTTTAACAGCAATAGCCTTCATCAGATTTAGCCTAAAATTGCTTCTGACACTTCCACATCATCAACTGATGTCTTGATGGCACACAGCAGGCATTTCCACAGACGTCTAAATTAGGTAAAAGTTAGTGACTTGCTTTGGAGTTTCCAAAACTTAAATTTAGTTCTCTCTCAAGCACTCTGTTGAATATTTACTTTGGTTTGGTTTATTGTTTAATTAGATCACCTACAGAATGCGCTCATAAGCTTAAGGAACTGCTGCCCAGATGTTCTTGTGCAACATGTCCTAATATCATTTCTAATTCTTTGATCCCACAGTGATTGCAAGACAGCCAAACAACAAAGCAGCCCTATTCCATTATGCTGCATCCACCATGCTTCTCAGTCAGTTTTTGGCAGTGTCTCTTTTCTTAAAGGAACTTTGTGCATTTTTGCCAAAAACTTCAAATTCTCCTTCACCATCCACAGAGCTTCACCTGTATACAGAATAGCAACAGCCGAACATTTCTTCCATTTGTAAACTGTTTGTCTTATTGTGGATTAATGAACGCCTATGTCTTTAGAATAGCTTTCTTTGCATTTTCAAACCTCCAGGATATTACATAATGATTATATTAAGGCCCTAAGAAAGTTGTTGTGAACAAGGCATAGTTCATACCAACCAATCCTCTTGAGAAGAGCGTACTTTATCAGTATGTGTTTCTTTATAGGAGCTCAACTAAAACATTGTCTTACCTCCTTAACTAGAACATCTGAGACCTGTGTTTTTGTTTATTTGTTGAGTGAGTTTGTGCATAAAAGTGTGACTCACATGTAGATGAAGATCAAACCATATTATATAAATAACAAATGTGTCATTCATGAAGAAATATCACTTCTTCCAACTGTAAAGTAAATTATGTTTATAAGGACAGCTTATGCTTTTGATATTAAGTGTATTGGAACAAAAAAAAGATATCCGAGGAGAGACTATGACATCTAATTACTATGAGGACATGTTGCCCTCAGAGTTTCTCTTGAAATTAAAAGCTAACTTTAGAATCTGATAAATTCTTAACAATTAAACTTTAGATGTCTTTAAATGTGCATCAGTAGTTTAATAAGAAATCATCCTATGCTAGACAGACCCGCACTTTCTTATTCTTTTTCATTTTTGCGTTAAGAGGCGAAAAGTCTTTCATTTTGTACTAATTGTCTTTCAAAGGTGTCAAAATCTTACACTTTCTCTCATGAAACTTTAAGATAATATAAAAGAGGTACAGGCAAAGCCACCTTTGTACTTAGTAGCACTGAGTAGTAGCACACAGTAGACTGTGAAAAATGAATTTAAAAACATTAAACCACTGCAGCTAACTGGGGTTGTAAAATATAAAATAAATACTGATGGGACGCATCAAAATAACAGCACTGTATTTCAGCCATGTTCATCATGGGGATACCTTTAAATGGCCCTAATAGTCAAAGAGGCTGCGTCTTTGTCTTTGGTGAATCCTTTGAGACTACTTGGGAGGGAAGAGGGAAAGAAATGGGGCAGAATGAGCTTAAGAGGTTTACCAGCACTTGTGCAGCAGGTAAAATGGCCTGACAGTGAAAAAGCTGCAGAAAAGCTGATTTTGGTCCAGTGGGACACAGCATTAATACAGGCATCAGGGAGAAAAGAGCCTGGCTTTGCATTCAGGCTTCTACTGCAGCAGTTTACATCATTCCCCCCTGACAATATAAAGAGTTATTATGAGTGTACACACATACTGCAACAAGGTAAAAAAAAAAAGCACACATTTACTGTCAAACAATGGATAAACATCCTGTACACTGAAAAACAAATGCAACAAAACAAACACAAACTTGCACAGTGGACAAATTATGATCGCTGCACTTAATGCAGTAAGTTTAAACTGCCCCTAATTTTTCTCTCCCGCACTCATGAGTCCCATACCAGCTCCAGCCAACTACCATCATTTCAATTTACAACAACTGCAGTCGTTAAACAACTATAATCAATAAGATGTTTAGACCACACCCTTTTCATCCCAGCACACACCACTGCAGAGCCACAAACGAGAATCTAACACGAGGACAAACACATAATGCAAGCTTAATGTGCACATACATAGAATGAGCAAATTACCATCAGACAAGTATAATTTGGACAATTTAAGTATAACTTAATTCATTTCAATAGTGACAAGAAATGCACTATATTTGTGCAACTCTTACTGAGATACAGAGGAGATAATTCTATGGTCGTTTTCAAGCTACTGTTTTTGCTGGTTTCTTCAAAGCAAACTTAACTGTGTCTCTTGACAGGTTTTATATGCTTTAAGTAAAAACTGCAGAGTGGTGTACAGCAATACTGGCATTTAGATTTTGGCAGCAAAGACCTGTGCACACTTATCGTTTGGCAGTTTGCCATGGTGTAACTTGCAGCATTTTTTAAACACAGAACTGATGCATATAAAAAAGTGCCCTAAACTATTTGTATAACCATGTTGTTATCCTGCTACCATTCTTTACATGGTGTAATTATTTTATGGAGACCTGTAGTAAGTCATTGTCAATATCAATCCTTAGCAATAAAAGCCATGTCAATAAAATCGCATCAAAGACAAATGTCCTGTGACAATTTTAGCCTCATTCACCAAGACAATGTCACATCTTGGTGATGTTGCCTTTTTTCCTATATTTTTTGTAGGAAAGATGTTCTGAATGAACATCTTTGTGTGTGTTTTAAAGTGATGCTTTGTCATTAAAAAGGAAAGTTTGGAAACCTTTTGGTACAAATCTAGGTTTTCTGCTTCTGTACAGCATGGAGAGGAGCAAACTGTCAAAGGAAATGAGATGGATAACATAAATGACAGCATCCTTACTGTGAACAGGCCCAACAG